AACCCCATCCTTCATTGAGACGGGGATTGTAGTCTAATTGACAACTCCAGCGATGTACATATGCGTGGAAGACGCTTGTACCAAACTTGAGCTGCCCTCGTTCACGTTCTTGCACAAATAGATCGTTCTGTAGGATGTTATATACTCAATTGTACTTGATCTATCAGAAGAAAAGACCTCTTACATTTTGTAATCCTTTCTCAAGAGTACAACCGATATCATACAGAACCCCACAAGTTTTACAAGGTTTGTCAGGCTCTGAAATGCGATCCAGTAGTGTTGCAATCATGGAATGAGCGAAGTGCGATCTGTAGGAATATAATATCAGGCATCTGTCAGCAAAAAATGAGTAAAAAAACAAATGCAAGAACAGAAGCAACAGAAACATTACTTTTCGCCACTTTGCACGATATTCACAAAGCCTAAGAATTGATCGTGCCGACAAGCCATACCCATGAGACCATTATCATCAAACCCTCGGAAGGTGGTGGCACACCTACGGTCTGCAGCGGCAGTATGCTGCGCAGTGCAGGGATCCTACGGGTTTGACCAGGCATCATCAGAAATTTCTCTGAATAAAATAATAAAACAACAATACAACAAAGACCCTGACAAGCGGAATCTCAACATGTTGCCTGGCTCCAGGCTCCCACGCTTTAACTTGTTCTGGGGTAAGAAAAAGGGATGGGTATTGGACTTCAATTTCTTCATATTCGTGACTAGCTGCTGCGTGTCGTTTATGTTGAAAATTTCCGTCTAGACAAACGATATAATTGGGCTCGTTGGGTCGCTTTGAAGTCTCCCCTGGCCCAAAGCATCGTGGGCAGATAGTGGCCATCTTCTGTAGCTTGCTTAGCTCTAACGACAAATGCTGCAACTCGTCGTGCGCCTTCAAAATCTGACGATATGCGTGAATGGCACATGACATTGGCCTTCTCCAACTTCGAGGCTATATTGGTCAATCAAAGACGATGTTCAGATGGTCTGATTACAAAGTACAGTAGGAATTGACCTAAACTTACCTGTTTAGTTCCGTTGATCAATATCAAAGGGCAGAACGCATCGAGATATTCATCATGCGCCAGCGCGAAAGGCTGTACACCGATTGGTCGATGTTTCCACGTTAGATGATACGACCGTACTAGCCGTATCGAAAAAGCCGTCTCAGGTCGTGTTGGAGTCCCTCCTAAGTAGCCTTGAGAGATCAATCGGACTTGATCTGGGGTACATTTACAGAAGTCAAACTCCTTTTTTTGTCGAGCTGTTGACAAGAAGCCTTAGAAAGATTGAAAAGAACTCAATGGGGCGTACGATTACTCACACTCTCGATCGACTATATCTAGAAACCGTTTCTTCTTTTCGCTGGCCGCACAATGGCACTTCTCTTCTCTAAAGTGATTGTTATCCCAGGTTATGGGGTTTCCCCATTCAGAAGCGATGTGTGAACATTGCAAGTAGGTGATTAACATGGGTCGTAAGAATTTTGACCATGCTCTTTCTTCGCGTATTCTTCTTGTCTTGTAGGCATCATGTCTTACAAACTCGACTAAGGTTTGAGGAGGGCGAATCACTGGCTCTTGTTCGTGAGGTTCTTCATTTGGATGGTCAAATTGAAGATTGATTTGATCGTCATCTTCAACAGGCGCACCATTATCCTCATCTTCATGAGGATCAAACGGATTTTCATTGTTACTAGAATGTGGTTGGTCCTGTTTGATGACGTCGAGATAACGATCACATTTCCGCTTACACCAAGCTTCAGCAATCTTATTGTTCTCTAGTTTTTGGCGTGTTGCTGGTGTTTGAGGTCGCTGGCCTTTTCTCTTGGAAGAGCCTGCGCGAGGCCAGGATTTTTGGCTGGCATTGCTCATGTTATATATAATAAAGCGATGATTTATGATTCAGAAAATATGAAATTGCTGTTTACAAGATAATGCTTACGGTTGGTGGTTTATTGAAAGAGAGGAACTGCACACTAAACTCGCATAAGCCTAAAGGTTGATCAAAAGGACCCCTTCCATCATTAACTAATCAATCACCCCCTTTCTCTATGACGAATCGAGACAGATGCTGTTGCAAATTAGTCCTAGAAAATGATACGTCAAATCCAATTGACGTATTATCCAGCGCCAAGTCTGACACGTCATTCATTGTTAGACCTTGTGCATTGTATGTATACATTATGTATGTGAGAAAGTGTCATGTCAATAGTGCATTTCAAGATAACAGCCAACACCAATTCCAAAGGCCTTATACCCGGGCCTGTTATACCTACTTGGGCATTTCAGCTCAGTTCACGGTGTTCCTGGTAAGCCCTTGCAAGGAAACAACTCATATAATCTAAACTTTAGGTCCATGTCAGCATGAAGTTATTTTGTGAAGCCTTGAGATAAGGATTAAAGCATAGATACATAGGCTCTATTAAGTCATCCTGGCACTCTGGTTAGTCAGTATGTAGTAAGCTTTGCAGCAACACATGTCATAAGGATAACTTTTTTGATTTTGAAGCAAAATAAGAAGTTGAACTTGAATTATGTTTGTGGAGACTTTGGCTTTGATATTCATCCCACTGAGCACTCAAAACACCTTGATATAGACCACTAGTGGCCTGATGAGTGGGCACATAGTACTATTTGATAGTTTTGCGGTGACACTTGTGACAAATAAAACTTTTTTATTTTTGGAGCAAACCTATAAGTTATACTTGGATCGTATTTGTGGAGATTTTAGCTTTTATATTTATCACAGCATGCACCCAAAACAACCTCACATAGACCACTTATTGCCTGATTAGTGGGTCTGTGGAGGCCAATTTGACAGTTTGGCAGAGACACATACTGCAAATAAAAAAAAACAGTTTTGCTTGAAAACCAAAAGTTGAAATTGAAAAATATTTTTGGGTATATTGGCAATCATATTAAGCCCACTAGGGATCCAACGGACCCTCACATGGACCACTTATGGGTGTATTAGTGATATTTCACCCTGTTTTGGGGAAGACGCTCTATAAGAAAAACTTTTTTGTTTGAAGAGATAAGCCAAAAAAAAAGTACCTTTTTTATTTCACTTAAACCTATGAAAAAATCCATAAATCTCATTTTTTTTTTTTTTTGGTCACTTCACCCCAAGTGTCACCCTTTTTGATAATAGCTCATATGTTGGCAGGTATATCATAGACAAGAAAAACCCAAGTATTCAATGATTCCAAATGATTTGATATAACAGATTGTGACACCTAATCAGCATCAATTTTCAGCCATGAAAGTGGTCAACACCTGCTTCTGTTAAAAGAAAGGCTACAGATATGACCCTACCTGGCCACCGTATGAACACTGTTGTGAACAAAAAGGTTTCAGTGAAAATAAAACTGATGAAACAATATAATTATAAAATCTTATCAGGTGGTACTTTCAGTTGGCAATTTCCAGTATACTTTCAGTTGACACTGTCAAGTATACTTTCAACTACAATTTCAATAACACTATTGGTTTATGCAAAACCGTGACGTCCACACAAGGTACTTCTTTGCATAACTTTAACTGCATATCTTTGAGAGTTCAGAATTTTGTATATATGATTCTTGACCCACATGCACCCTTATTCTGAGTAAATTATTTGTTATTCAAGTATTCATCATCGTCTTGAAAACATTCAAGGGGTACAATTAAGTCTCACCTGCTACAGGTACTATGATCAAGGGCCCACATTGCAGCAAACCATAATAAATGATTCTGATCAGAATAAGTTGTTCCACCTTTTTAATTATTCCATCCAAGCAGCTTGGTTGGAATCAGTCTTGCATTTTTGAGTGTGGATTGAATACATTCATATTCAACAATCATATTCAACAGCCATTGAAAAGCATATACCTGTGATGTATGCATCCAAAGTTGAGTTAGAGAAAAAAAGGTTAAAGGTATCAAAGGTCAAGAATCAAATAATTTTTTCACTTACATAGAACATTGAACTTGGCAACTTTGATTTGTCAGAGAAAAGATTTCTTTGGTGGTATTGAAGGTGGTACAGTTCCATCAACAACATCCCTTGGCAAGAGTTTGCCACTGGTCCCTCCAATGGCATAGCATATGTTCAAAAAAATTACTCCACACCAAATCTTCAAGCTGTACAAACGTCGAGTTGATATACAAAATCTTTATACAAAACCTACCAACAAATCAATATCTGACCAACTTTCATTTGGAAAAAGATTTGATGTAAAGGATATATATTGAAGACAGTCAACATACTTATGTTATTAGATCTTATCAGATTCATTTACATTCAATTGTCTTAGCTCTCAAGACAATTCAACCCTTGATGAAGATTCAAAAGCTTCAATTCATAAACATGGCATGTGAGATCGAAATCATTCTGTAAGGATGAAACCAGTCATCTATTTAACAATTATTATTTGTCACTATATCATTGTTTATAATAATTTTCTTCCAAAATGTAGATACTCAAGATCATCTCATGATCTATCATTGTTCAATTTTAAAAGTAAAACCTGATCCCTTCATAACATACTACAAAGACTTACGTTTGAAATCAATCATTTTGATTACAAACGCTTTGTTGATCATAACTCGAACTTGGGTGTACATAAAATCAGTACATAAAATCATAACCTAGGTTAAGAATGGGTATGGGTTTATGTATGTAGGCCCAGATGTCAATAGGTTACATCGTATTGAAGATGTATCTGCCACGTATATCTGTCTTCCACACCCAGGTTTGCACTTTTTGAATCTACCCTTTTTCCCCATCGTCTATCTGCCCGGTCCATCTATCTTCCAGATACATCTGTGGTATTTCATTTTCTCGTTATTCCTTTTTTTCCTCACCATCTAAGTTTCTATTTTCGAATCGGCGTTTTTTCCCCTTCATCTATCTACCAGGTCCATCTGTCTTCCAGATACATCTGTGTTATTGCTATATCTTTTTTCCTGTTTTCATTTTTTACCTCGTCTTCGAAAAGTCCAACCTTGCTAGCGCGCTCCATGCCTATCAATACACGAAGCCGTAGATCTACTCCGCCTGGAGCAATCAACCTCCGTGGAGCCAAACGGCGTAAGCAGTTGGAAGCCGAAAGAGATGAAGCTGAAACTTGACGTCGTAGGGATTTAGAGACTCAAACTTCAAATCAAACTCAAGTCAACGACCAATCATCCAATCAGCACGACAGTCGATCTGCTGAAGAACTCAAATTAGATGAAATCGATGTACACACCTATGGACTTCAGAAGAAATTCTGGCCGTTGCAGCGAATTGACAAGCAACTGAAGGCGCAGACCACTGATAACCGCTCTCAACCCAATCCGCTCATCCTGGCCGAAGCACAAGCACTCCACGAAGCGTTCCAACACTCTCTACACATGCTTGCAATGATTGGCAAAGTTCACCTCGACACCCTGAAATCCCATCTGTAAGTACATTTTTTTTATCGTATAGATTCATAACTATTCATTTCTCTACATTCTCATCACATCTCCATCTTTTCATTAAATCTCAATAACTCTGTTATCTTTCAAATTTTTAGCGGAATCTCAGGTGCAAGTCGGGCGGCGCATGCATGGAATCGATTTCTAGCCTTTTCAAAGCTCGCTTCTAAGAATCCTAGCAAGTCCACTCCAATATTGAACGGAAATATGGTTCAAACTAACTAACGACAAGTTTTATCCTCCAGTGCCCCCACGGGGTGATCCTAACGCTAGTGCAATTCTGAGCGCGCGAAACAAAGCCAATCGTGTTACGTACAACCGGTTGAAGGACGACGAGCATGCAGTATTCACTTCACGCATTTTTCACGCCTTGGGAGGCTATCCGGACTATTCAGCAATCGTAGTAGAAGACGTTGAGACCGTCGGGGACTGTGAAGTTCTGATCCCCGAGGTTCCTAAGCTTTCACCTGAAGAAGACGCCCTGTATCGTCCTCTATATGAAAAGCTAGTCGATCCGGCAAAGGTAGCAAAAGATCGTAAACGATTTGAGGTTCCTTCAGCTGAGAAGAAAGAAAAGCTTTCCCTTCGAACGTTCAAGAAGAGGCTTCAACAGGTATGTGATGAACAAAAAATCGATTTCTTGTTATCGTCATCTTTCATTTTATTCATCTACTTCTTTCTTTCAAATCATCTACTGTTGCATTTACACTTCATTAATTTTCGCATTCGGCTGTTCTTCCAGCTCCACCATGACGCTATCCTTGCCGACTTTGACTATTACACAATCGGCTGTAGCAAGACCTTGGGGACCGGTTGGTGTCACGAATTCACATCTTTACCCGAGATCAGCGCCTGGATGGACGAGAAGATCAAGTTTCAGACAATCTTTCCAATCTACTCCCAAGCCAGACCCGAGATCAACGAAATCGATGCGACTGCAGCGGCGAGCAACAACACCAAAAACAAAGTCACTCGTCCTCCAAATAAGTCCGACCGCGAAAGTACTGAGCTAACGAGTTTGTTGCTTACACAGATAAGTCAGTTGAGCATGATCTGATTGATTTGACTTGGGAATATCAACTGACACAACTTTTTTATTGTTTTCAGAGGCACTTGGTGTTACTCTCCCTACAAGAGGCTTCCCCCGAGGTCCTGATGTGCCTGCTGTGTTTGAAAAACATAAGGTTGGCGTGATTTTTCTCCGCCATGAAGATTCAGCAATGTCCACCCGCGAGTTCATGCTAGGCTTTGATGGCATGAAAACTGCTGGTCGACGAAATTGGCTTCAGGACATCAAGAATCAGAAGTTCCTTATGGTCATGAAAGGAACACCTGTGATTTCGCCTTGGAAAGTTTTTGAGAACGATGATGATGATAGTAATGGTGGAGGTGGTGGACCCGGTGGTGAAGGTGGCGAAGGTGGTGGACCCGGTGGTGATGGTAATGAAGGTGTTGGACCCGGTGGTGAAGGTGGTGAAGGTGGTGGACCCGGTGGTGAAGGTGGTGAAGGTGTTGGACCCGGTGGTGAAGGTGGTGAAGGTGGTGAAGGTGGTGGTCCCAGTGGTGATGGTGGTGATGGTGTTGGTGATGGTGGTGATGGTGGTGATGGTGGTGGAACCGGTGGTGATGGTGGTGAAGGTGGTAGTGGTGGTGGTGAAGGTGTTGGACCCGGTAGTTGTGGAGTCATTTGAATCACGATGTTATGTTGTAATCTTCATGTTGTATGATTCTTAGATCGTAACTTTCCTATTTGTTCCTTATTTGTTTTCCTATTTGTTCTACTTTTTCTCTCCTGGTTGATTGTTTTGAAATACATTGATATAACCTAGTCTCATTTGGAAGAGGCAACCAAAACAGGTGTGTCTGAGCAACACATCTGATCTTGACTTTACAAAGTAAATTCAATTATTCTCACCACGAGCAGATAAAGACTCGTTTGTAAGGAATCATGACAGTTCGATTTACAAGATGCTTGATAGACCACCATTAGAACTTGTTTGTATCTCTTGTTCCTGTGAACTTGTACCATTATCGTTTGACTTCCACTTCAAGATTGAAGTCCTACATTCACATTCTACATTTGCTGACTCTGTGACGCCTTGAAGGCTTGTATTTGATTTGATTGAATTACTTATGTCCATTTGTCCGTTCAAAAAATCAAACTCTATAGGAAAAATTGTGTGATATTTGACGTTTACTTCTCTCCAGTTGAAATACACAAGAGAGAGTTTCATTTCAATGTGATAAAGATATTACTGTCATTCTTGAAACACTTGTCCAAGGTCTCAGTCTTGTTCATTTGTAGCTGATTCCTGCTGAATCTGATTGTTATGTATGTATGAGTTCAACTTTCAATCCTCTCTATCACGAGGCGACACTTATTTACATCTCCTAAACTTATGCTATCTGACTGTTTTGATGAAAGCAAAATTCACCGATCCGTTACTTTACTTGTATCTACCTCAACAATATTTTTTTAAAAAAAGGACTTTCACTTTGTAAAATATCAATTCGCAGTCAGCAGTCACATCTTTTTTGAGAGCTTGGATAAAATGAACTTGGATTAAATTTGCTACAACAATTGATGAATGGATGATGCAAAAACACCGTGTTGGATTTGTGGGTTGTGTTGAATCCAAGGATGACTCGTATGTAAGACAATGTGAGACTGTTGCTACAAATACCAGGTGTATCTGGGACTATGTGGACAAGCGGACAAGCTGGGTGTCTGTACTTAGCGGTGAGTTTTGAATTCAAAGATGCAGACGCATCTGCCTCACACAGTCGTTGTGTTGTAGTGATTCTGATGCATCCCAGATGCATCTGGGTTTAACCGTGGTGATTTTGTATTATGAGAACAGATGTGTCTGTTTCTCTGTGGTCGAGTGTATGCCCAGGTGTATGGATGTAACCAGATTCATCTGATTGTAGGTTAGCCAGATTGATATGGTGTTTGGTAGTCAATGAGGTAACTGCAGATGCATCTGCTGTGTAAATGGTTTTGTGATGGATGCGTGGTGTACATATGCAGATGGATCTGATATTGTACTTGATATGTTGTGTACAGATGCAGATGTATCTGCTTATGAGCATATGTATACGCTACACTGGATCAGCAGAATCAGATGCATCTGATTCTCTTTTGCCCGTGAAGGCTGAAATATTTCAACTAAACGTGAAACCTTGATATTGCATACTTTGATGGCTCAAATTGAGTATGTGGGCGAATTAAAGGATGGAGAACAGGTTTCCAAAACTGAGACTTGGTTGTGTGCCTTTGAGGCTTCCATCTGGCTCACCTGCGGACATCTGCCAGGTGTTTTCAGCATCTAGCCGATCGTACAGTACACGTTTATTTTCGGCTAAGTACCGAAGGATCTGTACTCCTCAGGTGATAATTCTGCTACCTGAGTATTACATTTTTGTCACTCTTTGTTATTATGCTGTTTGGTCATGTCCTTCAAACAAAAAAGTTTCAAGGATCTAGAAAGTTATGGTAATTTTCAATCATTTCAAAGTTATGCAAGAAATGTATATTTGGAATTGAAGTATGAAATCAGGTGATAAGTCTAATACTTCTATTGAGGAATTATGATGTGTTGAACAGATTATGTTTGGGTGAGATTTCATATCAAACTCAATATAAAACTGAATATGTAGATCATTTCATTTTGACATGTAAGATCTTATCTGTCATCAAGCCAAAAGACTGATAAATTGTTTCACTTCTTTAGAATCTGATCCTATATCAATCATATTCCTAATTCACAAATCATGGCTAATTTTCATTTATTTCTCCATAATCAAGTAGAACAAACAACAAGTAACAATCAAGATTCCACAAGTAAATAAGCAGGTGGTGATGGTGCAGGTTCAGGTTCAAGTGGTGGTGGTGGTGCAACATCATCAGTAGGTGGAGGAGGAGCAGGTGCAGAAGCTTCAGGTGGTGCAGGAGGTTGTTGATCTGGTAAAGGTTGTTGTTGTGATTGATGTGTCTTACAAACCTTGAAGTGTAACAGGCTGTGAAAGGATTGATGCATGTCACGAATGAACTATACATATAACTATTGTATTGCGCCACGTTTGTATCTTTCCCTCATCCAACAATCACTTTGATCAATAGGATAAGGCGTTAAGCATCTTCCTTCATTCCCAACCCAACCGTGAGACCAGCCCATGACATATTGTCGGATCTCATTATTACCGGAATCAAGGAAACAAAGCCACCTCGATTAGAATCAAAGATTAATTAGATTTAAAATTAGAACTCACAGAACCCACTCAATCCCCTAGACACTGCCAGCATTAAAGAGGTTCCCAGATGGGAATGTGGTTCGTGGGGATCAGACCGCCATTGTAATATATGTAGTCACAAAGGCTGTTTGATTCCTACGACCCATATTCCCATCTGGGAACCTCTTTAATGCTGGCAGTGAGATTGAACTTTATCAAACTCAACCCAAAACCTTAGAAGAATCGATTGAACCTTACAGAATAAGAAGATCCAAGATTGAACACCGGATAATTAGGATTTATTGACTGACTCAGATCCAAAACCTTAAGACTGAACCAAACAAACGCCACCACACCTTCTTACAGCCTACCTGCAATTGGCGACGCCAAATCCGATTCTGAAACCCATTTTGTGTAGAAGGATGAGAACACGGTTTAACCTATAAAGTGTAGTGCTTGTATCAGCACTCTTCTCCTACAAAAGCTGTGGTATGCAGACCACTTGCTAACCTATAAAGTGTAGTGCTCGTATCAGCACTCTTCTCCTACAAAAGCTGTGGTATGCAGACCACTTGCTAACCTAAAGGTGTGGAGGAACAAGTTTGAAATTGAGAAAATAAAAGTAAGCTCGAAATGGCTCTGAGATTGATCTAAAGGAATTTTCTCTTTCCAAAAGATAAGAATTTTATTACTATAGCTAACCTATAAAGTGTAGTGCTCGTATCAGCACTCTTCTCCTACAAAAGCTGTGGTATGCAGACCACTTGCTAACCTAATAGATGAAGAAACAAAATGAAACAAGAACATAAACCAAGTTAGAATATTGATAAGTTTGTGAAGAAAGATTATCAGTATTATACCTAAAGGTGTGGAGGAACAAGTTTGAAATTGAGAAAATAAAAGTAAGCTCGAAATGGCTCTGAGATTGATCTAAAGGAATTTCCAATATATATTAAGGTGTTAGTATATAATCTATAAAGAATATCAAAAAGAAAAACTCACTCTCTTTCCAAAAGATAAGGAAAGAGAGTCAATCAAAGAGAGACGAGAATGAAACATATAAGTGAAATGAAATTATGGGAAAATCCATTGGGATTGATGTGCAACAGTAATATTGGGATTTCTAAACCCGTATAAAGTAATGAAAATGAAAATCAATAAAAGAAACATATCACACCCTTGACACCTCTCTGTGTAACTACACAACTGTCTTGATTGTATTTCAACATTTTGTTGATACCGAAACTCATTTGACAATCAAAGGACCATCGTATCTTACTCCTGCTCTTGAAGGACCATCTGCAATGGACGATATCCAGAGACAGATCAACGAGCTCTCCAACGCGCTAGCAAACGAGAGAACATTACGGGAACAGGCTGAAGCCCGATCTAACGAGGCAGAAGCTCGTTTATCTGCTATTGAATCTGCTCGTAACACCCACCCTTCTCACAACCACCCTCCTGCTCAACCTACTGTGATACCACAACCACAGCATGAGAGTTTACCTGTTCCTAAAGGGCCTAAGGTGACTGTCCCTGATAAGTTCAACGGCACTAGAGGTGGCCCGGCGGAGATCTTTGCTACACAAATCCAACTCTACATGCTTGCTCATCCTTCCTTATTCACCAACGACCGTAGTAAAGTAGTCTTTACTTTATTGTACCTCACTGGTGCTGCTAGTAGTTGGGCCCACCCCATGACGATCGAACTCCTAGACGATAGCACAGCTCATTTAGTGACTTTCAAGCGATTCATCACCAACTTTAAGGCGATGTACTTTGACACCGAGAAGAAGTCAAAGGCCGAGCGCGCACTACGTACCTTAACCCAAAAGGGTACTGTCGCTGCCTACGCTCACGAGTTCAATTTGTACGCGAGCTCTCACAGCCCCCAATCACAAGTGACTGGCAGCCCAGTACATCCGATGACCTCAACCTTTTTTTGGTTTGTTTTCAGTTTTTTTTGAAGATGTTTTCAATATGCTATTTATCATATCTTAACCAGTTATCATAGAGATCTTGTCCAGTCATCAGAAATATCCTGATCAGTTACCGGCAAGATCTCAACAGAGTGTTGAACAAGTGTTTGACAGCTATGGAAGCTCCACATCCATAACTATCACATTTTTTTTGAGAGTGATCCACTCATCAGAGTAGCTCTGGAATGTCAGGCCAAGGTGACACCCTTGATGGAAACACCCAAATCACTTCAACTGGCCGCCAACTTGCTGCAAGTAAACACAGAAATCAGTGCATGTCTCCATTTCAATATCTGACCTATAAAGATTGCTCCCATGACTAGAACAGCAGGGCAAGTTGTTACTTCTACAAGTGCCTGCTGCTGGGAAGGGCTTGGCAGCTGAAAAGGAGAAGATGGAGTTTAATCGGCGTCAGTACAATACTCGACCATCACCACCTCCTCCTCCTAGCCCACCTTGCAGCCAGCAAGCAGAGACATCTGAGATGCGCCCCCAGCGCAGATCTTGATCACACCATTCTCACGACACTAGATCAGCAGCACCGTCAGATCTTCATAATTTACCATCATATTCAGGTGGATCTGACCGCACCATCAAAGGAAAGAAGCGAGCAAGAGTGGAACGATCTCCAACACCCCCACCACCTGTACCCGCTAATGTGCCATCAGTCACCCCCTACGAACTGGATCTGCTTCAGCACTGTCTTGAACATGCCATTGCCCCCTCTTGGACCACTCGACCTAAGCCTAACTTTGGAATGGCCAGTGCTGGTACCCCCAAAGCAGCCGAATGGCAATATCTATTTAAAGTCTATATAGTACTTGCTTGGGTACCTCACTTCAGCTCTGGAGAGGCTGGAGACACCTCTGCCAAAATACTTGACTGCCTCTTGCAGCTCATTCAAATTGGTAACATATGTACTTTGTGATCTTTCAAACATGGTGACGGAGAAAAGCTCACAGAATTGGTTGAGAAGCACCAAGCAAGCCTTGGAGATGGATGGCCCCATATGATGAAAAAGCCCAATTTGCATTTTGCTGAACACATAGGCTCCATCTCAACACTTCTTGGGTTGCAGACACCACAAGGAACGAATTGGTGGCATAGTCCATTCTCGTGAAAGGTCAAGGTAGTCGTGTGAAAGCTAACTCGGAAAGACGCTCCGAAGTTAGAATTTGAAATCTGAATTTCAAACTCTATTCATCTCATCCTCCACACGCTCATCCTTGATTCCTTGAAGAACCTCAGTCACAAGTTCAGTTCTTGCTCATACCTTCATTGCTCTAACTCGTCAAAAATATACAAATGGCTTTCAGACAACAAATTGATAGAACAGCAGAAAATGTACAAAGAAGGTTAACAAGAGCAGAAGCGGCAGCAACAGGAGCGCAGCTAGAAGAACGTCTAGTGACACCAAGAAGAGGTGGTGGAAGAAGACAACAAGACAGAAGACAAGAAGGAGAAAATAGAGATGAAGAAGAAGGTTCCCATGTACCGATGAGGAATAGATTAAATCAAGTAGATGAACGAGAAGACAAAGAAGATGAAGAGATGGAAGAGTGGGGAGGTATAGAAGGTTTGAATGAAGAAGAAGAGAACAATCAGTCAGAATTAGATCGTATCAGTGAAAGAATAAAGAAAGGTAAGAGGCAACTCATGTTTTTAACTCTTCATAGTCCTTCAAAGTCCTTCACGTTATCCAACCTTCACCCGAAAGAGCACGCGAATCACTCGAAGATGGATGCCCGAAGGGCTTGAATTGGTTCAATACCAGCCTGGCCCGGCTACAAATAGGTGCCCAGCCAGGATCGGCTTACAATAGATACCCAAAGTCGCCTGGTCAGGCTCATCATATGACCCAGCCTGCACGGGCTTACAATACGTCGCAGCAATATTCCAGTGGAAGGAGAAACACAAAACTAATCAATGGATGTTTCGACGGTCTTAACGTAGAAGCAAGACGAGAAGCGCTGGTGGAGCTCATACAAGATGCTTACGACCGAAACGACGAAGATAGCGCTCAATGCTTAACGAAACGTCTCGAGAAAGAGGATCAAGCAGGAGAGCAAGTTGATCCTTACATCGTGGAAGAGGAGTCGTCAAAGTCATCCGACGATGAAGCGAATGTACGCTCCTTCTTGATCGCTCGTCAACCTGCAAGTAAGGCGCCGAGTGTCACGTTTGTCAAGGAAACGCAACTCCTACCTCCACAGACCCAGCACCAGTCCACAACACCGAATGCTGCAGAATCAAAAGACAGCTGGTTAAACGGATGCAAAGACCAAGAAGAGTCAGACAAAGCCAAAGCCCTGTTAGCAGCGAAGAAAGGAAGTCTGACCTTGTCGAACGGCGACATGATTCACAACGGACACATCTTGAAGTCCGGGCCAGCGAGGATGGGAGATTCGATAACCCCTCTATCCCCTCATTTGACATTGAAGTTGAAGAACCTCAAATCTTTCATCCCCCTGCCGGTTTTTGATGAGGAATTTCTTATTTGAGATCAGATGGCGTGGTCCCTGTTGCCTCCGAAATCAGAGGATAAGGCGGAGAAAGAGAAACGGCTGTATGGCGGAGAAGGTCCAAAGGAAGAACTCACGATGGACTTTGAGGCCTGGAGTGACTGTATGGAGTTGATGTGTGTACACCTGAGAGATCAAGATTGGGGACCGGTAGCAGACAGATTCGAAAGCCACATGTTGATTGTAAAGCAACTAAGAAAGGACTTTGGTTGGATGGTGGCGTTGAGGTATTGTCGGATGGTCCGGCAGGGAGTAATGCGAGAAACTATCGACAGTTTGATGGGTAACTGGGCGGAATTACAAGAATGTACATTTGTTAGCTCAGGCAAAAACAAAGGCGGAAAGCTTTAATGAGAGACATTACCGTACGAACCCATACGTTGTTGGTGGTCCGAAAGCCAACATCTGCCCGTATACCAATCAGGTAAAGCAAGGGTTCCCTTTAGGTCCAACTGCCAGCACCTCTCAACAAACCTCCTCGTCCTACAACTACGGCAATAACGGGAATCAACACGCAAACGGAAGCTCTTATCGCGGAAACGGAGGAGGAGGAATGAGAAGAAGTCAAGGAGGCGCGACGTGGAGTAGAGAAAAAGAGACTCGAGAATATTGTGACCATCGAGGCCCTAAATGGGGAGAAGGAAAGCGGAAAGAGCAAAGTAGAAGCCCGGAAAGGCGCTACGAGAAACGGAACAACGGGAAGTGGAAACGCTTGTAAGCTGTGGTTTATAAAGATACAAGGATGAAGAATGAAATGCATTTACCTAAGACAGGTAGCTGATGATCGTGCCACACTTGCCCATGCCAAACGTTCCTGTGCCAAAATAAACTCCAAACTTACTATTCTTTTCTGACATCTGACCTACCGGCCCGTTATCTGACATTTACACGTTGAGAAGTGAGATGGAAAGACACACGGTCAAAACGGTAAGACTGGAGGGGGAAACGATGTGTAACATCAGAGGAGAAGATGTGAAAAGTTGGCCAGAGGAACCATCGTACGAGATGAACCTGAACGTGTGGGAACAAGAATTACGTCAAACAAACCTGCTGAAGAAGTACGGACACATACTCGAAATGTTTGTGGAAGGTTTCTCGCAAGGGATAACTAACGCAGACATTCCGAATCAAAAGTTTTATTGCCCCCCGAATCATTCCTCAGCAAAGCAAGCTCAAGATAAAATAGAAAAGAACTTTATGAATGAGCTGAAAGCTGGCCGAATGTATGGTCCGTGGCCAAAAGAAGAGGTGTTTCAAAGAATCGGATTCTTCAGAACAAATCCGCTGGGTGCAGTCATCAATGGAGATGGCTCCTTTAGGCCAATAAGCGACCTCTCTTACCCCAGACACTTACGAAACGTGAAATCGGTGAACTACAACGTTGAGAAGAAACAGTTCGAGACCTCTTGGGACGACTTCAAGAAAGTCGCGATATTCTTCACATCTTATAAAGGTAAATTGTTATTGGGTATTTTCAATTGGGCCAAAGCCTATCAACAGATACCGGTTGCGGCTAACCAATGGCGGTTCCTGATGGTCCTGGATTTCAACGACGAAGTCCTACTGGACACGAGAGTACAGTTTGGCGGGGTTGCGGGCTGTGGCACATTCAGTTGGGCAGCTGAAACATGGAAAGAAATTATGGTGAAGAAGTTCAAAATGTTAGCTGGGTTTTGCTGGGTAGACGATACCTTATTTGTGAAACCAGTCAAAGATAAAGAAGCAGGGAAGATGATCGATATTGTGAATGCTAGTGAAAAGATGGGAGTCGCTACGAATGAGGAGAAATGGCGCGAATTCAACCACGTTCAGAAATATTTAGGCTTCCTGTGGGATGGGGAAAACAAAACCGTCAGTCTACCAGAAGAGAAAAGGAAACTACGGATAAACCAGATAAAGGACTACTTACACACCAGCAAGCAATCGTTCAAAGAGACCGAGAAGATAGTAGGACACTTACAACACGCAGCGTATGTTTTCCCTCAAATGAAAGTGTATTGCGCGGCGATCTATAGATGGTTGCAAGAATGGAAACATAAGTATGCATTAAGGGAAATACCTGACGAAGTGAAAGAAGACTTACATATATGGGAAGAAACTCTTTTAACCGCCAACCCACTTAGGATAATTCCACGACCAGAAACACAAACAGTCGGGTGGGTAGGTGACGCCTCAACGTCATACGGATTAGGCATTATGGTAGGAAGGCATTGGTCGAGATTCAAGCTGAAGACTGGTTGGGATGATCCAGAAACGGATGGTACTAAAAGGGGAATTGCATGGGCCAAAAACGTAGCAATTAGATTAGGTTGGATGATGGTGAAGAAACTCAGGAACGTGGAAGGAAAAACTTACTTGGCATTGACGGACAACACGGTGTCAGAGGGTGCGGTGAATAATGGCAAATCAAGAGACCCCTTGGTGAACCGCGAATGGAAAGTCATACAAGCAGATTTACTAAAACACAACAGCGCTATCGAAGCCAAACGAGTCAAGTCTGCGGATAACACAGCAGGCGCGCTGTCTCGGGGGTTAGATTTGACAAAAAGAAGGTGTGATGAGATTCGATTAGAAGTTCCAGGTGACCTTAAAAAGTTCTTGATACAGACGTAAATGATGTAAACATAACTAAAGCAATAATGATCCGAATAGTTTGACATCAACAAACATGTTCCAAGTCAGAGAGCGAACTGACTTACCTGAGTGAGAGAGGCGACCTGCCTAAGAGAGAAGGTGAGACCGACACTTCGTAATGATAGGTTGACCGGCTTAGGCCAAGGAAGTATGGTTATGAAGTTCTTGAGGAGACAATGTGCTGATGAGGGTGAGCCTCGAGATATGGCGAATAGCAGTGAAAGATACCGTCCTTTCGGTCAATTGAGTCTTGACATCTCGCTGGAGAGGTAGTTGTCACCTCGCTGGAGAGTGAGATTACCCGGCCAACCCGACCCGAAGCTGAGAGAAAGACCGAGAAAAGAAATCGTCGAGACGCTCTAAGCGGCGGAAGGCGTCACCGAGAGTAGACTATCCAAAACACCCTCCTTTCATCTACACCCACATGCCTCCATACCGATTATCCCATCAACCCATCCGAAGCACAGGCGTCAGAAAGCGTGAACCGCCAGGACATTTCGGCAACACATTAGGTGCAGCCTCAAGGCCAGGCGCCCACATGGCGTTAAGTAGTTGGGCAACGACGACTCTAAAAGGCTATTTGTCAGGATTGTCGAAGTTCATCGAATACGTTGAATCTACCGGACGCACCTTCGACAGTTGGTTACGGATCAAAAGTGACGACGTTTACGGCTTCATTACCTGGGCTGGACAGTCCGGATTACAGATCGGCGTACGACCCAAGAGAACGATCTCGTCAAGAACAATTGATAAGTACATTGATGGGATACAAGCATGGCATTTAGTAACACACGTTCGGAAAATAAAATTAGATGATTCAATAGTTAAACTTCTGATCAAGGCAACGAAGAGAGAAGAGGAGGACCAACTACTTACAAAGAGCAAACAGCCGGTCAAGGTCCAACAACTTCTGGCCTTACTCCAACACTGTGAAGGACAATCGACGTTGCATGAGTTTGTGGCAGCTACGGCGCTGGTAGCGTTTTGGGACTTAATGCGTTTAGGTGAAATTTTTTGAGAAAGGAAGAACGATGGAGCAATTCTCAGACGACACGTTGACTTTGGTCAATCGAGTGTTGGGAACTGGGCGAAGATTAGCTTACGGAAAGGTAAAACAGCCTTACCTGGCAAAATTCAACTCATACACCTACAAGAACAACCTTCGGTCCTTGATCCCGTAGCAGCAGCAAAACAATTAATGACACTCAATCGGTCCGAAGATCAGGACGAATTCTTATTTAAGTTAAATGGGAAACTGTTGAGTAAACGGGTGTTTGTGAAGGTGTTGGAAAAGGCTTGGGGAAAGTCTAGCGTAGAAACGTGGTCCGGCCACTCGTTCAGAGTTGGAGGAGCGTCATTACGGGCTAATTTAGGAGCGAAGATCAAGAAGTTACAGAAGGCTGGGAGATGGAAATCTGATTCATACAAACGTTACGTGAAGATTTTCACAGAAGAAGAACTACATGATACAAAAGAATTTTTAAATGCAATCAAACTGCAAGAAATCCAGCAGTAGAACAATTATCACCGCTCTAGCAAGGAGTATTTAACATGGGGTCCGTCAGAGTCCCTCGAGATGAATGTGCCGTGGATGGGGTTGTCCTCCAGGCCAAGGACGGACACGTTCTCACGAGCCCTTCTTGGTTAGGGGCGGATGACAACCCATCCAGAAGCCCATTTGAGGGCGGGTGGGGAGTGAGCTGATAGCGGCCCACCCTCAGCCTGGTTGGTTTCCCAAAACCAACTGAGAGGCGGGCCCCGGCTTCCCCCATATGCTCTGTCCTCACCTTCGAGGCAAGGATAGAGCAGGTGAGTTACCACAAGCCGCCAAAGGCGGCCAACATATGTAATCACCCTCATCTAAGTCAAGATGAGCTAGAACTAGAACTAGAGAATGGATTGCAGACACCACAAGGAACGAATTGGTGGCATAGTCCATTCTCGTGAAAGGTCAAGGTAGTTGTGTGAAAGCTAACTCGGAAAGACGCTCCGAAGTTAGAATTTGAAATCTGAATTTCAAACTCTATTCATCTCATCCTCCACAGGCTCATCCTTGATTCCTTGAAGAACCTCAGTCACAAGTTCAGTTCTTGCTCATACCTTCATTGCTCTAGCTCGTCAAAATACCATCCCACCCACCCGACGAGTAAAGAATGGTACCCACCCACCGACACAAGCTGATAGCGGCCCACCCTCAGCCTGGTTGGTTTCCCAAAACCAACTGAGAGGCGGGCCCCGGCTTCCCCCATATGCTCTGTCCTCACCTTCGAGGCAAGGATAGAGCAGGTGAGTTACCACAAGCCGCCAAAGGCGGCCAACATATGTA